TGTCATCCCATTTCTCCAGCTTGTCCAGGTCCCTCAGAAGAAAAATAGTGGTATATTACCCACTTCTTCCAGTTTTGTACAATCTAGAAACTGAACAAGTTGTATTTAAGTAGGAATTTGAGAGTAATATTTCATGGCTTGGCATGCATTGTAAGGTTTTTATCCCAGTTCCATGCATTCTGGTAGGCTTAGCAAGCATATGGTACTCTCCATATGTCTGCAATGTGTAAGTATTAGTTTATCATCACATCACCCGATGAGTAAAATCCAAAGTTTTATTTCTGAAAGTGTGTTATGGGCAGTAGTAATTCTCCCAGAGCCACTCAATCAAATTAGTCACTGTCTCAGGTAACATTTCCTAGTAGCATTCTGCACTAACAGCCTAAGAGCAAAGACAATAAACTGTACAGACTAAGAGAGTTAGAACTGATAATGCTAAGTCAGTATTTAGTGGATGCTTTCTGTGCTATAGACTATGTGACTGTATTTTCCATCTGACACATTGATTAGGTGGATGAATTAGGTTTATAGCAAACCTCTCTCTGGGAGAGAGCTAGACAGTGAGCTAAGAGTTTAGTATAGAAATCAGGTGTTTGAGTCTCCTCTGGGACCCTTCACTATGTAGAAGGGTAGACACATGCTCGTGAAGTTGGCCAGGGGAGAAAAAGGAAAGAAGCAAAGCAGTAAAAAGCATACAGTTTGTGGGGTTTCATCCTAACAGATTCTATTTTACGTCCTATTTTAATGAAATATGAGGAAATTCTGCTTCCACAAGAATATATATGTTTCTTCTAGTCTGATCCTTCACGTAATCAGTTTGAAATAAGTATGTGTTCCTTCCAGCACCTTCAATACTGAGGTCTATTCAGAGCAGAGAGAATTTTACCACACCTGTCTGCAGAAGACCAGTCTGAGAGAGGGTGGAGGTTCTGGAGGTAGAAAGTTCCTACAGATATGGTGCTGGAGCCACTTGCTTGGTTATTGTGCAGAAGGTATGGACTGGTCATGTAAATGCCTTAGAGCTCACCACAACTCCTGTATCTCTTATCCTGCCTGCAGGCAGAGAAAAGCCAGAGAACCTGGCTATGTGTTGGTGCATTCAGGTAGAGTGATAGAGAGAACATAGGCACAAACCAACTAAACAAACTAATCCTATCCTGAGTGATTTGTTTTAAAAGTAGATCAAATGTGAAACACAAATCCTTTGGGAAGCAAACTCCTTTAGTGCTGTGATCAATGGAAATTATCATTTCTTATGAGGAAAGTGAATGCTTACAGGCCCTGCTATTCCCACTGCAAGTCCAATGAAATGTCCAGAGTGTGGAGACAATGGTGTCAGCAAACACTCCTCTGAGCAGACAGGGCTGCAGATGATTCCTGTGGCAGTGCCCTAGATGAGGGTTTCCATGAGAAAGCATGAAGAGTACTTGCAGTATGGGGCTGTTGTCACATGTAGGAGAGAGGGAGATTCTGAAAGCACAGGAGTCATGAGAGCAGAGAGAGAGACAACAAGAAGAATGAAGCCAAGAAAATAAAGAAAAGGTGAGCAGACAGTTGACTGAGAACAGGAAAACTTAAAAAAGAATGCAAGAAAGGAAGGAGGAAAGGTTGAGTGACTGAACAGATGGGCCAAAGCGGAGAAAAATATGCTTAAGGGGCAGACTAGAAGGACAACAGGTCTTGAGTTTCCCATGGGCATTAGTGTGGAGGTCCCTGAGAGCATGGGAAAGTGGAAATAACTATTGAGACCAATATCTCACACAGCATTTCACAGCCAGTCCTCCATACCATTTGTACTGAAGATTCTTCAGTATCAGTTCCCAGCAGTCATGGCCACATCCTTACTGTAGTATGACGATTTACAAATACTGATGTTGTGAAAGATAAACAGAGAAGAATCAGGTTACAGTGAAGAGTCTATCTCTGTTGCAACCTCAACATGATGTTCCGGCCTGGCTTGAATCCTGGAAACCATGACGGACATGTACTATCAAGCTAATTTCCAGGAAATGTGACGTGCCTCCTGGAAATATTCATGAAGCCAAGACAACTTCCTTGGAACGTCTGGATGAGTTTTTGCTTTCACCACAAGTGGAGTCAGTCTGAAAACAGCACTCTGAAATTACCATAAAAATTAATAGAGAAGGGTGGATGAGTAATGAAATATTACTATGTTTCCATTTTTCCTTAATTTGTAAGAATTTACCTTACAGTCTTAGAATTATCCTTAGTAATACCTGTAATCAAGAAAATTGCTATTAGGAAGTTTCACTACTAGGCAATGCTAAAACAAACAAAAAAATAACCAGAGTTTCTTCTGCATGTAAAAAAACCCAACAGAAAAACAAATGCTGTCAATGGAGAAACCTTCCCTAAAGTTTTAACCTCCTCTGAGAAAAGAAAATGGTACATAAGATGAGAAGTGTTTGACAAGAACTGATGACAGTGTTTGACTAGTTTTGCTCAGGCCTCCATATGAAAGAATGTGGAATCACCTTTT